GATCATCTATCTAACAGTCCCAACCACTAAAATCATCTGACATGAAATGCTGGGACGCTCCCCTAAATAATAATTACACAAACCAGGATGCTCCCCTATCATTCCACTCCTTCTACAATAGTACGACAATCCTGTCAAGAAACGGCAAGCCAATAAACCAAAGCGCTTCAATAGTACACAGATTCAAAAGGTCATTAGATCCTCTTAACTAACAATTGATTATACCTAAGAAAACCTTAAAGACACGTCCAAAAGGCTCTAGATACCCTTAATAAAAGCTTCACGTAATAAAATCTATGTACACTCAAAATTAGCTATTCTTTTCATAGCACAAACGTTCACGTTCAGGCCCAACAACAATGCAGTCCCCATTCAATGATTGCCACAACCATACAGATACCTAGGAAATGGGATTCCTCTACAGTACCATAAAACACAGCTGAGAGCAACTAGACATGTAACTAGAACAAAACAATTACTTGCACCTGGATTTAGACAAATCACTATCATTAAGGCCATGTCCCACAGCAATATAAAGATTCTAAACTATTTCTACAGACTACCGCATGTCATTTTCTTACAAATAGGAAAAACTATTTTTACAATTTTAAATGAAACGAAAAACAAGCCCAAAAGCCAAAGCAATCTACTAAAAAATAACAAAGTCGAGGCATCCCTTATCCAATGTCCAAAACATACTAACCAAGTCTACAATCACCAAAACAACGTGGTACTGTAACAAAAAGATCACATAGACCATAGAACAAGAACAAAAAAAATAGAAACTTAGAAAATAAAGCCAAACCTCTAACCATCGATCTTACTTCCGTAACAAAACATAAGCAAAGAGCAAAACGGACTTTCTTATTCTCATAAGGTGCGGATAACTGCTAAGCCACATCAGAATAATGATACGGCACACGTCTTCACCACTGTACAAAAAATCAACTCAGATGATTAAGCATTTAACTTTAATGCCTCAATCCATAAAAATCCTAAGAAGAAACAGGGATATAGCATTCCTGGCCAAAGAAAACGAAAAGAATTTACTTAGGATGAAGTTTACTTTAGCTCCATTGTTTTCAGCTGCTTCTCTAACTTCTGGAGGACTAAGAAGTTTTGACATGGCAGAAGTAAAGGGGTATGGGCATCTACCCATGCGAGAGAGGAGCCAGAGGAGAAGAATCAGGGCCAGCCTTTTTTAAACAAACAATCTTGCAATGAAATAATAGTGTGAAGAACTACTTATCCCAATAGGAGTGTGTACAAGCTTTCATGACGCATGTCGCCTTGAACACATACTCATTACTGATTCTCAAAAGCAATTGCATCAAAAACAGAATTAACAAGAAGTAACTAATTAAAAAGAAAGATCTTAGCACCGCAAATACACTGCTAAAAGTAAACAACAACTGACAGAATGAAAGAAAATATTCACCACCCTTTGTACTCTGGCCACTGGTCCCGAATATTCCAAGAATCTATAGAAAACTGATCCCCCCCCGCACTTCCCCCACCCCTCCCCCCTGCCGGCTCACCCTCGAGCTCGACCTCTCGTCCACTCATCGCCCTCTCCACTCGCTCCCCCCCACACAAACACGCAACAGCTCTCCCAACCGCCACCCTCACTTACCATGTCCTATCGCAGTCACGATGCCTACTTTTTTCTTTCTTTCTTTCGTTTTTTTTTTTTTTTTTTCTTCGACGAGCCTCCGCTCGCTCTCCTCAGCCACGCATGACTCAGCCTCACTCCCCTCCACCTCCCCGGTTCAAAGCTCTCCTGCTCACCTCGCCCGACCTGTATTACACGCGTTGCCACCACCCATCCAGTTCATTCTTTCTATCGTTCTAGTAGAGACCGGGGTTTCACCATGTCTCGGCGGCCCGTCCCAACTCCTGACCCCCTAAGTGATCCCCCCCCCTCAGCCTCCCATCCAGTCGGCCTGCGATTCAGGTGTGAGCCCACTCGACCCTCGGCCAGAGTGGCCTACAAACACAAACAACAAAACCCGATGCGGCACGGCTGCAGCAAAAAATGGAAAGCTTATACATTCGGCTAGGCTCGGACATGCAAATAGGTCACGCCTGTGGAGAATAGTGCAAGAGCTGTCTTACAAAAACTCAAACACCT